GCCTGTGCCGACCATGCCCCCTATTTTTGCGCCTGGACCCGGATCTGGGGGGAAAAACATGCCATGTCCTTTTAGTTCTTCGTTGAGTTCTTCCCAGCCGAGAGCGGGCTGTACAACAATATCAAGATCTTGGGGTCTGAATTCCAATATCTTATCCATTCTTGCCATGTCGATGCATATGCCTCCTCGTGTGGGCGCAAAGTGGCCTTCAAGACTTGTACCGCCTGAGAGCGCGGTAACGGGGATCCTTCGTTCGTGGCACACCTTCATGATCTTGGAGACCTCTTCGGTAGTTGCAGGGTATACAATGGCAAAAGGTCTTTCATTAGGTTTAGTGGTGTAGGAGGACCATTCGGAACCGGAATGCGCTTCGAGGTCGTCGGGAACAGTCGAGACGTTATCCTTCCCCACGATTTGCGCAAAGTCAACCCAAGCGGCTTGCAAATTAGAGGTTCTAGTATCATGTTGGGGCGGCTGTGCTCGAGACAAAGGGGTCGTGGATGAGACATCCAAAGGTCGTTCTCCCCTCTTTCCAAGGTAGAATGCTGCGGCTGCGACGGACAGAATCACTTGTGTTGTTAGCAGAGAAGAGACAGGCGAGGGCCGAATGAGTACCAAAACTGAGACTGAGCGTTCTGCCCCCAGCGGATCCCCCGCGGGCGCTCGTCGCTCTTATGTATTGTTCCTCCGAAGCTCTTTCGCGCTTCAACCTGTCCGCGGTGCTCTGGTACAGCTGTCCTCGAAAGGACAAGTTTTCTTTGGGATCTCTGCCTTTATCTTCGAGCTTCGCGGGCGACCAGTGGAATGACCTCGTGGCCCAAGGAGCGAACCGACAGTGGCTTTCGCGCTCGGCGCATCGCAGGAGGGAGCCTACTGGGCGACCGAGTCGGGCGATTGACTTCATCGTGAGTGGCAGGCGAAGTGATCAAGAGGCGTCTGGTGCTGGTGTTTAATGCATCTTCGAGGGTGTCTGATAGATATAAAGACTGTATCAAGCTCGCTGTCAAGGAGAGGGTAGCGACACGAAATTGACCGCCGGTACGAATCGCGGAGAAGTTGTGGGAGGAGTCGAGAACAACGCTGCATCCAAGGTGCATGAAAGGTGCGTCTCAATGGATCAAGATGCAAATGACGATGTTTCCCCGAAGCCGCGGGACCCCAAAAAACCCCGGAATCTGAGAAGTCCGATCACAGGGAATCGAGGAGTCTCCTGCGCCCAGCACCATCCCACCATCTCATCACTATCCTTTCTCACTCATCGTGTACTTTTGCTGCTTATGCTTGGGCGGTGGCACGCTTAATTTTCGGTACGGTCCTCGCACACTAGTCCGCTGGCAATGCCCAAGACCTGGCCAGTGCTCGCCTATTTGCAACGCCAGATAGACCTCACATATCCTTCGGAATCTTGAAATTCTCCCCGACCGGAAGCATGAGGATACGCTAGAGCTGAAGAGTTGCAGATACGACGCTGGTTCATTCCACTGCCCAAAGATCTCGGTGAGACGGAGAGACACTCGGGCGTTTAGACTTGACACTGCTACACTCCTTGACTAGAAAAGATGTGGTTGGAAAGAGAATGTTAACCGCGTTGACTCCGCGATTGAGAAGGCCGTGGACAAGAAGATCTCCAAGAATGTCTCACACCACCCGTACAGAACGCCCGCTCAATGGAAAAAGATCATGCACACTTCTACACCATTGCTATCAATTCTGCGACAATTCAACGGCAGTACGGAAAACTAATGTTCATCTGCGGGGAGCATTGGAAGTGCCAGGCCGCGCCAGCAGGATTTGCAGAGCCGTCCAAAGCGCATTGCTGACTGTAGGGCCTTTCAAAACATAACTATCGCACCAAATCACTCAAACCACTGACGAGCCGGGCATGGCTCTTTCTTTACGCGAGCTGTTTCATTGACATGCCTTTTGCGAAATGTGCCTGACCACGATGTCTGATTCTTTCACGAGGTCAAATGGTGGTATTGAAGACCTGATGCTGCCTCCCACTCGTTGTAATCATCAGGAACCTTCAAGCGACCTCGTCAGGTATTTCCGAGTCACAATACAGATTGTTATAATTTCAGCACAGGTTGTTCGGGTCCAAATAGGTCAGTTTCGCCTGTTGCAATGGAAACTCCGGTGTTGGCATCACAGATATGACTTGATGGTGTCGATAGTCTGGGTAGGGTATCATCATCAGTGCTCAGCAGAATTCCGCTGGTGGAAGTCGTTCAAATGTCTGCCCGTATTGGCGCCTCTCCTCTTACTACTAACTTGCATCTGTTTCAGCAGGACAAACCATTGCATGGCGTATCGCAGTCGGCGAGGCTGTGCTGAGTTGATCGAGTGTTGATAAGCAATGAGGCCTCTGCTCCAGCACCGCTTCCCATCTTACCACCACGGCACCTCCAGCCACAAGCGGCCCCTACCTAGTGAGTATCTTGCTCTTCCGATAAAGCAGAAACCAGGATCAGGCGGAGGACGTGGACTGAACGACCTGATCGAGCCCTTGTTCGTCCATTGAATCGATGGGGTCGTCAAATACGCTGTGTCAAATCGAATGTGGAGTTGTACGTTTCCCAGAACCGGTACTGGGTCTAGGTTCATCGAAGGGCGCGAGACAAGCCCATCTGGACTGTGGCGATACGAAGCCCAGAGCGAGTTTTTACCAATGCCTGTCAGCCCATCCATCTGGAGCTCCCCGCAATTGTGGAACTGAGCCCAGCTTATGGCGTGATCCGATGCGCCGATATTATTATGCACCCATTATATATTTCCCGAGGTACAGCCTTTTCTTGCTTCTATGCTCCTTTGTGTTCAAATGCTAGATCGTTAGAAAAAGAAGAATTCTCTGTTGGTGTCTTCAAACCAATTCGCAACATCCATAATGTCTTTCTCCAGCGTCCCGATCCTGGATCTGTCTCTCGCGCGGGACCCGGCGACGAAAGCGCAATTCCTCGCCGATCTCCGCCATGCACTGCTTGAGGTTGGTTTCCTGTACATCAAAAACACAGGCATCCCGCCGGCTCTGGTCGACGAGGTTATTACGCTGGGGAAATCCTTCTTTGACCTCCCCGAAGAGAAGAAGCTGGAAATCGAAATGAAGAACGCGCCCTCGTTTCTCGGCTACAACAAGCTCGGCATGGAGATCACACGCTTCAAGACGGATTGGCGCGAACAGATTGACTTGTCGACACCGCATCCGATCCCGAGCCCAAACGATCCGTTGTACAGGAATCTGTTGGCGCCAAACCAGTGGCCCGATCCCAGCGCCCTGCCGCGGTTCAGGGAAGTGTACGAGGACTATATGTCGCGGATGGGCGATATGAGCATGGAATTCACAGGCCTGATCGCCGAGGCCATCGGTCTACCGCCAGACGCATTTGCGCAGTTCTTCGACGAGGCACAACAGCATAAATTGAAGATTGTCAAGTATCCCGACTTGGAGGAGCTGGGCGTGGAAGGGGAAGCGCAAGGCGTGGGGCCCCATAAGGACAGCATGCTCACGAGCTACCTCTTGCAAGCGAGCCATCACCGTGGACTGCAGGTGCAGAATGCAGAAGGGAAATGGGTCGACTGTCCGCCCATTGACGGGACATTTGTGGTTGCGATCGGACAGGGGATGGAGGCACTCACTCAGGGCGTTTGTCAGTCGACCACACACAGAGTGCAGAGTCCGCCTCGAGGGTCCGGTGCAAGGTACAGTATCCCGTTCTTCCAGGGCGTCAGCTATGACGCGACGTTCGAGAGTATGGACGTGCCGGACTCAGTGAAGCAATTAAGGCGGGACATCCTGGCGAAGAGGGGCGGCCAGAGGCTGGACGACATCGAGTTTACATTTATCAAGGGCATGTGGAGCCGACTGGGCGAGGCGACCTTGATGAACAGGATCAAGAGCCACCCGGACGTGGGTGAGAGATGGGTAAGTTGAAGGATGCCATACATAATACTCTGTACCCAGCCTTAGACTGACTTGACCGCGAACAGTATCCTGAACTGCTGAAGAAGATCCGCGCCGACCAGGCCGAGGAAGCAGCCAAGTTTGCCGCCGCCGAGGCAGCAGCAGCGACCAAGTCGACGTCGATTCCGGCCCAGCCGCAATCCATACAGGCGCATTAAAACGACAAGATAGAGATAAAGTCAAAATTCAAAAATGTGAAAGCGCTCCAAGATCGAGCGAGCTCCATTCCTGTCTCTCGCAACCGATGCTTTTCGTCGACGCTAGCAATCTATTAACAGGGCGTAGAAGCTGCATTGACAATGAATCCTTATCTTTTGAATGAACGAGCCACACGCCAGTCCGCACTCTCCACTTTCCTCGCACAAACCGTCATCATCTTCGATGTGCGAGCTCAGATCTAATTAGAGGGAGGGCTACACTGCCAACTGTGAATCGATACCCAACAGCCCACAACAGCCGCAGGGGTGCGAAACCATGTCAGAATACCAGGAGAGGGCATGCCCAACCTCTTCCTTTTATGACCACCTCTCCCTCTGTCTATATAGGTAGCCTACCTAGTCCTCTGTAGATAGACAATCCACAAGTTCCGCACTCTCAATCTCTGACAACTCGTTAGATTGAGCAAGGTGTCTTGGCTTCATGGCAGTTCTGACAGTGAGGGAGTGTGTAGATCATAGAGAGCGAAATGTCAGCTGGAAACTGGCCCATTCGGACAGGTTGTCATTTTGTATTTCCCATATTGAGGAGCTAATGGACTTTCTCTTTGTGATATACGTACGAGGCACAGCTTTTGTGAGTATCCACCTTGTCAGATCCCTGATCCCTGGTGTCATTGGAGCCTGTGTAGTAAGTGATCCCATAGCCCTACGCAACCATATGCAGCCCGAGCCCCACGGCGTTGGCCAGCCCTAGGCCAAGCCTTCCCCCTCTCGCCCCATTTACTCTTCCGAAATCGGCAAAAAAGGGTTGCAGAGAATTACTGGTCACGGCTCCTATTTTGCAACAACGAAGCCAAAAAAAGGGCAACACACTGCGAGTGAAGCGACCGCGGGAAGATTCGAACCTACAACGTGTTAATGATCAATTGGGCGAACCACCAGGCGCGCTGAACTCACTCCCAATCTTTGGTGTACACGTGACCGAAAACCAACGCCTTAACCATTAGGCCACGCGGCCAGATTCTCTGAGCAATTTTGTGTCAAAAATTTAACAATTTTAATATAATAACAAACTTTGTTAGAAGCGACTTCGAGGCGAAGAGCGGGGCGTTGCGTTTAGTTGTCATAGGCGGAAGGGCGGTGCGGTTCGTTACTCTAAAAGGACTCCAGTACCCCGGTTTGCCCGTTACGAAGTACGCTGCCTAGCTAACTATTAATACCTAGCGAGACAAGGTAGTGTTCATGTGGCACGTGTAGGAAGAGTTTTGAACTTGTTGCTGATCTATGTAGTTGTTGGTATATCCTCTTTGTAGTAAGAAAAAGTATCACATACAACTCTTCGACGTCTTAACGGGCAATAAGAGGAGGAAAAGTAGGGTAAGCTGGAGCATTGTTCATCTCATCTCACTGCGGTAGTTGGGACCCACTGTTTTCTTCACTGCACTTGCACTTTGCTCTATTTATACGCGAGTACACGTTGTCACATAAATTCCACTTGAAACAGAGACGCTCGGCAAATTCATCACGTTTGTTTGCCCCCGAACAACGATTCTCAACATCATTTCAAGCTTCATTGCTCTTTGACAGTTCAGTCCAGCAGGCTCCCGCAAAACGTCAAGATACGGACAGGGGTTCTTCGCATCACTTAAATTCACTTTGTTTCCAAAGAGATGTTGGTTGTGCTCACTGGATACTTGTGCGATCGACGAGAGTGAAAGCCATTTTGAGGTCCGAGGACATCCAGCTGCCATCTCCCTGTCACCAGGTGCAAGACTCCTCTTTCTTGTCGATCAAGACACTCATTCCGAGAGACATATGTAAATATTTGCGACATCTTGCATTGGTCTACCACGATGAACTATGAAGACTTGAGAATGTCTTCTTGTAAACTAGACGAGCAGCACTCACATTTGCTGACCTCATTTTGCCAGTACTGGAGGCAAAAGAGAGCAAGAGGAAGATGGCTGCCACACAGGTAAGAGCTCGTTTAATACCGGCGAACATATACTATTCTTTGAAGGGTACAGAGAATGTGAGGATTTCCATGAGAATAGAGAACACATGCTGTAATCAACGACCAAGCCGACGCAGAACAGAGAGTGTGTAATTGATTAAACGTGGATTAGAACTAGTTCAATCTATCTTGGCTAGGGACCGCATATGCCAGCTGATGATGACGGAGTATAAGAATGTACCTAGTCTTCAGAGAACCATGGGGACCTACTGTACCGTTTCGCTGCGCCCAGCGGGACTACGAGGAAGGGACCCTGGTGGAACAGCCTGGTCATTAATGGATAACACCGAAGCATGTGGTGGTGCTAATTGATTACTACCTTGTAGAGACTCTGTACATACAGACCAATGCCGCATTACCGCCTTCTTGACGCCACATAATGCACTGGTTGCTTCAGTGCTGATCGGATTCCCCCACGGCAGAGGATTCTTACACATTCTGCTAGGTTCTTAATGACCGAGACCACACCCACGGCCACTGCGTCTGCCCCGTCCGATTCCCCTTGCACCGCTGATCCCTGGCAATCCTGACCGTCCCGCTGCTACTCGTGCTGCCGGGGCTACTGGGCCTGGTGTAGTTCCGTGATGTCCAGATTCTCTCGCTGTCAACGTCGCCGCTGCTGGTGCTGCAGGTGCATATAGAGAGCTCATTTGTCGAGTCCCCAGCCCGTGTTCCCTCATTTTCGACCACGTATAATAGAGCACGACGATCTCCTCCTTTTTCGTCTGCTGTGAACGTGGCCCAGTTCCCATCTCGAAAGATGTACAGAGCGATGGACTTGTGGCCTTCGTCAGCGGCAGTGGTGAAGTCTTGCTGGGCTTTTTTGTGCGCGTCTCGGGCTATGACTCTGCTTCCTCATGCATTGTTTGTAGATCCGTCCCGATGTCAGGAGCAGATTTTTGCATTGGCACTGGCCATCTTGTTCCCAAGGCTAGGATCACTTTCAACAGCGTAGCCTTCTCCGGCCGCCGACACCTCATGAGCGGCGATGGGTCTCTTGACGATAATGCAATAGAGGAAAGTGCTTTCTCGACGTCGTTGTGTATAAAGAAGCCATCTAGGTCTCATGGATCTGGCTGATCTCAATTCACTTTTACCCCATTTCACACTTCTAACCATCGCTGTTGGTTAGACTGGCCCGATCAGGCAGGGTAAGACATTTCTTGGCATTGCAGCAACCAGAGAGATCTTCCCTTTCTAATCAATCAAGCGACCTACCTGAAGGGTTGAAGTTGTGAGAACTTGGGAGTCAGGAACACATGGGGAACGGCAGTGGCAATTATCTCCACCAGGCTGTCTAACTTCATACCAACGGAGAGTACTACCAATTCAGCCAGTCCGACATAAAGTCGGTCCAAAAGTCTTCTTCGTCTTTTCTCTGCACCTGCTTTCTCACATTAGTTGGTTCCTTTGGAGCTGGATGTCGCACATTGCCTCGGTCGTCCATGAAAGAGTTGACGATCTCGTAGGCTGACTCCTGCTGGTGGTGGTGGTGGTGGTGGTGGTGGTAGTGATCACTCTCATCGCTGGATGATACACGAGATGCCTCCACGGAGCTGGACTGCTGCATGACGGCCGTTAATATCTTGTCGAGCCAGCCCAGGAGATGCGGCGCCCGGAAGGCCGTGCTTGTCTCCGCCTGCGTCGTCAAGCAATCCACAAGGGCTCGGAAGCGAGCGACATACTGGAGTACGAGCAGTGGTTGGTCGAAGGAACCCTCTGTACCCGATTTGACCGCTCTAGAGCTCTCCAGACGGGCGAGGAGGAATAAAGTCGTGATCAAATGTGCCCACTCGATGATGCCCAGCTGGACAAGATAGCAGAGCTTCTGGTCAAGTATGTTAGACAAGACCGCATTGAAATGCTGCAAGCTGAGCCGGACATCCTGGGACGACATGGACTCTGAACCCGATGATTTGAGAACGCTGTACGCTGCGACGAAATGGTAGCTCGACCTCAGGCTCGCCGACGTCTCTTGCCGTATGTAGGTGGCTTTCCACTCAGCAAAGCCTCGTGAAGGTGGAACGCGATGCTCAGACCGGTTCCCATTTCCGTCGTCCCGATGCAGGCTTACAATGTGTAGTAGCTCGACCAGCGCCGGTGATTCCTTATCAAGAGCCTTGTCAGACACCTCAGCTAGCCACTTTGCAGCGTTCCTCAAGTTGTCAATGCACCGCATATTCTCGGGCCTGTCGTACCCAAGCACTCCTCCGCCGCAGTTGAGGTAGTAGCATAACAAGAATGCCCGCATGGCGTTCACATCCTCGTCGCCCCTACCGTCGAATGTCCCTTCTTTGGCAAATCTCCTTGGCAGCCCAAGATCGGCAACCATGCCGTTTGCAAGCTGCAGGAGCTGGTAGAATTGGACGGTCTGTGGGTCGAAGCGGTGGTGATACCACGTCATGTATGTCAGCAGACTCTGCAAAAGTTGCAGGCTCTTCTGTCCCCTGATGATGACTCGGTCGGCAAGGACATGTCGAAATGTCTCGCCGGCTTGCTTTTCGAAGTAGGGATCGGAGCTGCTTCCTGTGAGGATGGCTGCGAGGAGCAAGATTGGGAACGATGACAAGAGGCCATCCAGGGTCATGGGCGGCAGTTGGATGGCGAACGGCACCGATTCAACCATGTCCTTGTAGCCATCCAGAAACATCGAGCATTGTTGACCATGTGCAGCTTTGACTGCAGCCCAACTGCCGGGCGAAGGTTCCTTGATCTCTAATGCGGCGAGTAGGGCATGGCCGAAAGTATTCGAGGCTTCGGAAAGAGCAAGAGACGCTGATTTTGACAGCGTCGGCGTACTAGACGTTAACGGACCGTCGAAATAGGTGCACTGGTCTCCGTTGCTCCTCAGACACTCTAAGTCTGCCTTCGAATGGCAGCCTCGCTGTAGAAGAATGCCATTGCTCCCAGCAAACCGCCCTCTTACCCTAGCCGCGCATCATCAGCTCGATTCTTCGTTTCTCAGGGTGATTAATACTCTTTACCGTTTCTGTGGAGCAGTCCGCTTGATTGCTTCGTGAGGAACGCATACGAGTCCAGAATTCTCGCACCTGTGACCTTCGTCAATCCTGAAAAGACCCTCCTAACTAGCTAGAGCGAATGGAGAAAAACGGGCGGAGCCGGGCTGCCAACCTCTTACAAGTCTCGTCGCTTGAGCCCGGTAGACAGCGCGACTTGCGAGCTCGGCACGCTTCACATGCTTGTCTGCATCGGGATCTCATTCCTAGGCCTGCACACTGGACGTGCTGCCGTTACATATTTGATAAAGAACCCCGGGAGAGCGTGCAGGAGGGAAAAGGCAGAGGGCGAAAAAGGAGCCTCAGCAAGTGGAGCATCGGAATCACGGTTGGAACGTCAAGGATTCGTCTATCAGCCATCAGAGTTTGGGACCAACACCCTGATTTGGCAATGGTGGCAAGGCTGGCGGAGTGCCTCCGTGCCGAGGAGAGAGGTTCTACTATGCCGCACGGAGATCCTGATAATATCAAATATCTGCCAGCTTCGGCTTCTGTCTACAATTTTTTTATTGTAGTTGTTCAGATCTAGCAGCTCGAGACCCTGGAGCGCCAGAGCGATCACAATGTTCTACCCAAGATGCCTACCGGGCTTGAAGCCAGAACGTATATGCATACTTCGTAAGTACTAAGCAGCATGACTCCTTGTGTACTGGGGTTCATAAACCTGGTTCCCGCTCCGTCCATAGCTGATCAAAGCCGCAACAGGACGCATTCTGAAACCAAATTCAGTATTCTCGCACCCTGTGATCGTCGCGTTGCGTGTGCCCGGGACTCTACAGTTGACCAGGTATACCATCCAACCCCTTTTATCGAAAGATGACCAAGGAAAACTGGCTAAGGCCTCCCCTATCCAGACAATCAGGCACATCGTCCAAGAACAAACCGCAGGTTCAACTTCAACCTCTCACTGAATCGCAACACACCTCCCAACTTGCCTCCCAGCGCCTCTCCCGCCCGGTCAGCCCGCACCTGGCCATCTACCAACCG